ATGGATGGAGGATGGATGGATGGATGGATGGATGGATGGATGGATGGATGGATGGATGGATGGATGGATGGATGATGGATGGAGGATGGATGGGTGGATGATGGATGGATGGATGGATGATGGATGATGGATGGATGGATGGATGGATGGATGGATGGATGGATGATGGATGGATGGATGGATGGATGGATGATGGATGGATGGATGATGGATGGATGATGGATGATGGATGGATGATGGATGGATGGATGATGGATGGATGGTGGATGGATGGATGGATGGATGGATGGATGGATGATGGATGGATGGATGGATGATGGATGGATGGATGGATGGATGGATGGATGGATGGATGATGGATGGATGGATGGATGGATGGATGGATGGATGGATGATGGATGGATGGATGGATGATGGATGGATGGATGGATGATGGATGGATGGATGGATGGATGGATGGATGGATGGATGATGGATGGATGGATGGAGCAATGAGGAATGCACTGAGGTCATTCCTCTCCACATTGTCCCTAGCTGTGCCCATAATTCCCAATTGTTCCATACATTGCTGTACACTTGCACTTTACAGATGGAAAACAATGATTAAAGTCATTTCTCAACAATTGAAACACTTGTTCCTGTTACTGTGGGGCTGGAATTCAGCCACAATCCCTCATCAGGATTCTCACTACAAAATAAAACACTCATGGCCACTAAATTTGCCACTGTGGCTCGTGGGATGCCATTGCTTCCCTCATCACCAGCACACGTAACTCTTCCATCAGGAATTAGTTACAGGACTTCCTTCACCAGGATCTCTTTGACAGTTTGAAAACTGGGGGAAACTCCACATGGATCTGAAGGAGGGACTACAAAGATTACAGAGGACAAAGCCTGCTATGCCCCCTTAAAATATGAAACTTTAGCAAGGCCACCTGACTTGTCCAGGTGAGATCTATTCTGAATACCTTCATTTTTCCCTTTGAAAATCTTTTACAACCTCCACCAGGCAAAGCCAGCCCAAATGAGGCTGTACATATCACCCTCTTCCTTATGTTAGTCCTTCTTTTGATGCAATGTTTTCCTTTAAAGGAAAAACTATTTGGGCCGGGGCACAATCATAAGGTCTTGTGGGACAAGCCCATTTTTTATTACAGCCAAAATGAGTTTGCCAAGCAGAACAGGCAGTGGCACATGGTTGTATCTTTTTTATGCTCATTCACAGACTGTCTGATGAACCCACTCTGTGGGCAAGCAGATTTGCCTCTCTAAATTAATTGCTGCCATTTAACACCCAAGGTGTTCATAAAACACTGAATTTCCCCAGGTTAAGCTGCTGAGGAGGAGCTGCTCCAGAGCCACTCAGTGGAGAGGCACAGCTGGAATGGCTCAGGAGCTTTGTCACAGCCCAGCTGTACAGAAATTAAACCCATTAGGCTTCAGTGCACTCAGCTCTCAATGTGCTGCTCATTTGTGAGAAGAGTTATGCTAAAATCAATCCAGCTGAATGAGGCTGGAGCTGGAGAGCATCCTGCATCCTTTGCTCTTTCGAAATGCAGCTTCCCTTTATCTTTACAAATGTGATGGGGAGAGGAGAGAGAGGACATTGGTATTACAAAGTACAGTTCCAGTCTGGAAAATGTCAAAATAGCAACTTTCAATTCAGCAGCTGAGCTCTGTGCTCTCAGTCTGTGTGCTTGACTCTCACCTCAGAAAAATGAGCAGAAAATTGCCCAGCACAGGAGATAATCACAGCAGTTATGGGATGGAATTGTGGGTGTGCTCACAGGCAGTGCTCCTCATCCCACACACACTGAGCAGCTCATCCCCAGGGAATACAGGGATTCTGGCTGCATTCACACCACAGGGGTTGCTCACCTTCTCCCAGCTCCTCCATGGCTCCACATTCCAGAGGGCAGGACATGGAGCCCAGGGCTGGTGCAGCCCACAAACAGCACCTGCACCTGGGGAGGCAGAGAGAGACACCTCACAATGGGGACACACACCACGCTGGGCTTGTGAAATGTTTGCACCCACTGGGATTTTTGGGCACTGCAAGGCTGCAGTTCCACCATCAGATTTAACAATCCCAGGACAACAGGTTTGTCTGCTGGGGTGGGAACTAAACTGAGGGGATAAACCAGGTTTGTCTGCTGGGGTTGGAATTAAACTGAGGGGATAAACCAGATTTGTCTGCTGGGGTTTGAATTAAACTGAGGGGATAAACCAGGTTTGTCTGCTGGGGTTTGAATTAAACTGAGGGGATAAACCAGATTTGTCTGCTTGGGTAGGAACTAAACTGAGGGGATAAACCAGGTTTGTCTGCTGGGGTGGGAACTAAACTGAGGGGATAAACCAGGTTTGTCTGCTTGGGTTTGAATTAAACTGAGGGGATAAACCAGGTTTGTCTGCTGGGGTGGGAACTAAACTGAGGGGATAAACCAGGTTTGTCTGCTGGGGTTTGAATTAAACTGAGGGGATAAACCAGGTTTGTCTGCTGGGGTTTGAATTTAACTGAGGGGATAAACCCAGTGTCCCTGGGGAGAAAACAGGGCTGTGATGCCCATTTATGTCACTGTGACAGGGACAGCTCCCCCTGCACCCCTCTGCTCTCCTGCCTGGGTTCAAGGAGAAAATTACATCACATTTTTACTCAGGTCTAATCTATGACCTAGCTTTTTCCCAGAATAGCCAAAATTCCACTGCCACATAAGTGGAAGGAGACAGGGAAAGGAAATCTGGGGCTGTAACTGGGAATTTTTTACAACAAAACACATTGGCTTGAGCTGTGAAGAACATGCTCCCTGTCTTGCAATTCCCATAGTCTTTATAGTACTCCAGCCAAGACACAGAAAAAGAGAATGGATATTCAACATTAGGAAGAATCCATCACTGTTTCTCTAATAAGTCAGCCTAAAAAGCGGATGTAGTAAAACTTTAATTTATAGCTGTGATTAAATAGCCTTTGATTGCCTATTTCACAATTTCCTTTCAAAATGTTCTTTGGGAAGCACAACTATTTGATTCCACTGAGACTTGTGTGCAAATGTTTAATTCTGGTGAAGAACCTGAACTTTCTGTGACCTCCAGAAAATGGAAATTATTTTTCCTCTCCTTGATTTGTTCAGCTTTGGTTTCTTCACTGTGAAGATCAAAAAAAGCTGTCCAGAGGAGTAAATTTAACGTGTGGCCGGGAGCCTGGGGTAGTTGTGCAATATTTGTCCCTCTCCGGAGGGGCTCAGAGTCCAGCCCTGCCCTGCTGGACCCGGGGGAGCTCCTGGTACCGAGCGGGGACCCGGCTTGGACAATCCAACATCGCCACCTGCGGGATTGCTGTGCCGGGAGAGGCACAAATCCCTCGGTGCCCTGCGTTCCCAGGATTTTACAGGGCTTTAATCCAGCCTTTCCAACGGGACGGCTTCCCCTCAGGACAGGGGGGCGTTGGGTATCCCACGTTCAGTAATTATAAATAATTATAATTAGAATAGTAATTATAATAAATAATGAGAAGGTATTTTCAAAATTCTGGGGTTTATCAATTCCAGTTATCACCTGGCTCGCGTTGAATCTTCTGCTGTAGGCAGCAGTATGTAGGAATTTCTATAATATATGATTCCTATAATATATAATTTCTATAATATATAATAATGAGAAGGTATTTTTCAGATTGCTGGATTTTATCAATTCCAATTGTCACCTGGTTCGTGTTGAATCATCTGCTGTAGGCAACAGTATGTGTTGCTATGTATGTAACTATGTATATATTATAGAAATGAATTTCTATAATATATAATTCCTATAACATATAATATGAGAAGGTATAATATTATAATCTATAACATATTTATAAATATATTATTATAATTATATATTATAATATATAATAATGAGAAGGTATTTTTAGATTGCTGGGTTTATCAATTCCAGTTATCACCTGGCTCGTGTTGAATCTTCTGCTGTAGGCAGCAGTTTTTCGGAATTTCTAAAGAACCACTCAAGTGCAAAACCTCCCGAGTCTGTGGCTGTTTGTACCCAAGGGTGCTGTTCCATCCCCTGGCACAGCTCAAGCCTCCTTTTGGGCTCACATTTGGAATACCTTCAACATTTTAATGTAAAAACCAGAATGGAGTGTGAGGCTGAGCAAGAGGAGCATCATCCCAAAGTTCCTGGGGAAAACCCGAATATTCCTGAGCTGTACAAACATGAAACGTTGATGGGGAGAAGCAGGTCCTGGGGACGTGGTGGGGTTGGGCACAGCCAAGAGCTGGGGCTTCACCTGGATCAGGGAAGTTCCTGGGATCAGTCCAGGCTGGGGATGCCAGGTGGACAGTGAGGTGGTGGGGGAGAGCTGGGCATGGAAAATGAGCCCCTGGGCTGATCCCTGGTGGGCAGCAGGAAGGGTGGGGACTGTGCCCCTCTGCCCGCAGGTGAGGCCCCACCTGCAGAGCTGCCCCAGCACAGCGAGGAGCTGCTGGAGCCAGGCTGGGATGAGCAGGGATGGAGCAGCTCTACTGGGGGGAAAGGCTGGCACACCTGGGATCGGTCACCGGGACAGGAGAAACTCTGGGGTGGGCTCAGTGTGGCCTCACAGGGCCTGAGGGAGCCAAGAAGAAACACAGAGAGAGATTTACACCAGTGGGGTCCTGGGGAGAAAGAGGCCACGGGCAGGACGAGGCACCTGCCCTCACCTTCCTCCACCTGCCCTCACCTACCCTCACTTGCTGGCACCTGCCCTCACCTGCCCGCATCTGCCCTCACCTGCCCACACCTGCCCTCACCTAGTCTCACCTGCCCGCATCTGCCCACACCTGCCCCCACATAGTCTCACCTGCCTTCCTCTTTCCTCACCTGCCTTCCTCTGCCCTCCCTCACCTGCCCTCACCTGCGCTCCCTGACGTCACAGCAGAGAACTACAGTTCCCGGCACGCCTCGCGCGCGCCCCCTGGCTTATTGGCTGTCGCTGCCGGAAGCGGTTCCCTCGTGCCGGGGGCGTGGCGGAAGCCGGAAGCCGGAAGTGCGGCTGGCGCAGGTGAGTGCGGGCCTGGGGCTCGGGGGTCTGGTCTGGTCCGGTCCGGTCCGGGGGGACCCGGCGGGGCCGGGGGCGATGGCCCCGGTCTGCACCGTCCCCTCCGCTCCGGGCAGCGCGGGGCGGGCGGTGCGAGCCGGGCACGGCTCCCCGGGGGTCGTGGAGGGGCTGCGCTGGGCCACCCGTGCCGGGGTGCGGGCCGGGCCCGCGGGGCTGTGCCGGGCCGGGTTGTGCCGGGCAGGCCCCGGGATCCGAGCTCGGCAGTTCCCGCACTCATGGGTGCAGTGCCCCGCCCCCGTGTCCCTGCACGGGACATGGAATTCGGGGAAGTTTCCCCCGCCCCGAGAGATCCGAGTTTCCCTTAGGGATGTCAAGAGCACTTTAAAGATTTGTAAATATGGATAAGAGAAATTAAATCATTAGGTACATGTAGATGTGTATAAATATGCAACGGGACCGGGCAGAGCAGGGCCAGGCTCTGCTCCAGGCCCAGCAGTGGCCCCAGAGCCACGGGCAGGGGCTGAGCCCAGGAATTCCCTGCCCAGGAGGCAGAACTGCTGCCCTGGGCAGTGCCAGCCCCGAGCAGAGCCCAGAGAGGGGCTGGAGACTCCCCAGGGGTGTTCCAGAGCCACACGGACACCCCCTGTGCCGTGTGTTTGGGAATGCAGAATGCAGGGGGTGGCCCCAGTGACCCCCTGTGTCCCCTCCAGCCTCACCCCCCCCCCCCCCCCCCGGTGCTGGGATTTGTTTGCTAATGAGTCTTTAATGATGATTATTGAGTGTCATTCCTTTCTCATTGCCACACCCCCTCCCAGGAGCCCAGCATGGAAGAATTTAAAGCTGCAAGCCCACTGGAGGAGTCACTGAATCACCTGAAGCTGTCGGATCAGAAGGCTCCAGAGACTGCCCCCAGAGATGGCCAGAGCCTGGGCAGGGGCTGTGCCCCCTCCCCAGGCCAGGATCCCACAGAGGAGTGTTTCCATGACTGTCACGACTCCTTTGGGGCCAAGGGAGCTGTGCTGGATGATGAAGGGAACGTTCAGGATGACGGGAGTAGCTCCAGGAAGCAGACAGAGCTAGAGGAAGAATACTTGCTAGAACTAGAGAAAGATATGCCAGAGGAGGAGAAACAGGTAATGCAGAGCACTGGTGTGAAATGATCTGTGTGCAGGTGTGAGCTGATCTGTGTGCAATGATCTGTGTGCACGTGTGATCTGATCTGTGTGCAGTGATCTGTGTGCAGTGATCTGTGTGCAGTGATCTGTGTGCAGTGATCTGTGTGCAGGTGTGAGCTGATCTGTGTGCAGTGATCTGTGTGCACGTGTGATCTGATCTGTGTGCAGTGATCTGTGTGCAGTGATCTGTGTGCAGGTGTGAGCTGATCTGTGTGCAGGTGTGTGATGATCTGTGTGCAATCAGTTTGGAGTGTTCTGACACAGAGGCGCCTTTAAAACCCTTGAGTTTGACTGTTCTAAATTCCCTCTTTTAGGTACCAAATGTTTGTGCCTTTCCTTGCTGCTCTTACTCCTCATGTTCCAGGGCAGGTTTTGTGTGCCTGAGCAGTGGGTGGGGTGGCTGTGACTCAGAAATCAGTAATTTCAGCAACAAAACTCCCCCTGTTGCTGCTGTCACTGTCTGTGCATCCCTTGGTTTCTCCTGAGTGCCTGCAAGGTGCCTCTCCAAACTCAGCAGATTTCAGGATGGTTTTCCTGAAAGGTTGGTTATGGGAATCCAGAGAGCAGGGGTTCAACTGGAACAGATCCCCGTGGATTATTGGGGCTTTAATCAAACAAATCCACGTTAAATCTGTGAGTTTGCTTTCACTGCTGTCACATTGGACAAACTCATCCTGCAGCAGGGAACAGACAAATGCAGTTTTTCATCTGTGGAACCAATCTTTGTGTAAATATAGAAGTTCCTTGAGGGGGAAAAGCAATACTGGGGAAGGACAACATGGGGTAGAGTCTCCTTGGAGTAGGAGTGAGACTGAAAGTACTCCTGGTCGTGCTGGAGCTGGTGGGAATCCCTTTGGATCTCAGTTTGGGCTCTGAATGGGCACAGTGATGCTGCCAGTTGTAATTCAGCAGTGAAAAACAGGGGGTGGCAGTGGCAGGAGGTGTTCTGGGGCATCCTTTGAGGATTTTAGTGCAAGCCCCTGGCTCTGGGCAGGAGCATCTCTGGCACAGCCCCTCTGGCTCCCTGTGCTGCTGTTTAACTATGCTGGAAGCTTTTGTCCTGTGTTTAATTAGAATCTCCTTTATTGCAGAGCCCTGAGCATCCTGGAGTCCCTGTGGGAGGTCAGGGTCTTGTTGTGGCTGCTGTAAGAAGGAGTTTGTTTGATTTGTTTGATTTGGTTTTTGCCCAAAACAGGGCACTCTCCCAATGCATCTCTCAGGTGCTGAGCAGAGGGCAGAAATCTTCCTTGACCTCCTCACACACAAAGATCATTTCATTGCCCTTGGGTTTTTTCCAGTGTGAGTGAGCAGTCCCTTTTTTCTCCTGGTGTTTATTCCTGTCCAGTGAGGAGCACTGTCATCATGAGTCACACTGGGGCTGCAGCACCTGCCTGGGACTCCAGAGCTTCAGAGAAAAACTGCTGAAAACTGGGGGGGAATTGTTCTGGAACTGAACTCTGAAAAGAGCAGCAAGCCTGGCAATTGGCTGTGTTAATTTTCCTGCTGTTCCTGCTTTGGGTGTATTTTTAGATAATCATCTCATTTTGCACATGGATCTTTGCCTGCTGTCAAATGACCAAAATAATTGGGAATGTTGAATCTTGGCACTCAGCTTTGTGGAGCTCCACTGAAAGGGGCTATGGGAGTGCAAAACAACAACTGCTTCAAAGTGGGAAGGTTTCCTCAGAGAAAGGCTGGAGGCAGCTGCAGCTCTCATCTTTCTGCAGGTTTATTTCCAGTGGTGGTTTGTGATTTCAGCTACCCAAACTGAGGGATTCTGTCTCTCGCCAGCACCCCAAGTACTGCATCAGCAGGTTTTTATGTTCCTCTAAGAGATTTCTGAATTTTTCAGGTTTTCAGATGTAGTTTTTTTCTCTAACAAAGTATTGCTGGTATCTGATACAAGCAGAGCTGCAGAACTGTGAATGCAGAGCAGAATCAGGAGCTCAGACAGTTGTGACAGCCACTGGAGTGACCCCTTCCATGATCTCCCCCTGGCCAGGTTACTCCTCAATTGCTGCTCCAACTCTGCTCCTTGTACTTGCTACTGATGGCCATGAATTGATTTTTCAAAGTGAAACATTCTGTATATTTTGATTAGAAAAGATTCTGTTAAATGCTGCAGCTTTTAAGGAGAAGTCCTGCAGCCCCAGTCTGAAAACAGTGCTGTACATTCATTTCCTGAGAACTTTTTCAAACCTTTAAAGCCTCCTTCCAATGACTCAAAAGGTTTGTTTTTCTGAGAAGGGCAATGTGATTTTTTACTTATTTTTTTATTGCAGCTGCAGCAGATGAGACAGAAATAGTCAGAAGTGGTTTCTGGCTGCTGAGGGGGGAGCAGCCTCTCAGCAGCCCTTGCTGGGTCATTGTGAGCACTCGGGGAGTGCAGCTCTGAGGGTGGTGGCTCACAGGGAAATCAAGCTGGGTTTTTAGATGCTGGTTGAAGCAGACATCAAACAGCAGCCTGGTGCTGGCACCTGGGGACATGGATTTGATTTGGCTGCTTGTCTAAAGCACAAAACCTCCCCAGGAGCTGGAGCTGCAGCACCAGCCATAACCTGTGGGCTCAGGGCACAAGGAGAGCTGGGTGTGAGCCCTGCTCCAGCCAAGTGTATGGAGTTACACCTCCAGAGGTTGGGGTTTTGTTACAAACCCCACTGCAGTGTTCAGCAGCTGGAATAAAGAGGCTCTGTGGAGTGGTGCTCAGTAAAGGGCTGTAGGAAAAGCCTCTGATTTATTCTGGAGATGCAAAGGCAGAGCCTGGGCCTGGCTCTGAGTGTTTCAGATTCCAGCAGCTCAGAGGAAAACACTCACCTGTGCAGAGGCTGCTGCAGCTCAGAGGGAAGGAGCAGGGAGGGGTTGTGTGTTGTCTCTAATTACATTTCAAGAGCCCCATACAGGGAGATTTCTGCTGTTAAGCAGCAGGATTCCTTCCAGGGATACCCTGAGAAATCTTCTGTGCACAGAGAAGCAAAATAAGAATTTGCAGGGATATTAAGACACAAACCTGTAAGAAGTTCTCAAAACCACAGCCTGGTTCCTTGCCTGGGCTTGCACCTCGGAGCTTTTTAAGGCTTGAAATTCACCTTTGCAGGGTTTGGTTGTTGTTTCACAAGGCTGCTGCTGCCTCAGCAGGGGCACTGAGCAGCAAATTGCTTTTGATGTATTCCAAGCAGATTTTTCTGGCTGCTCGTCAGTGACAGTGATGGCTTTGACGTGGGGCTGCTCTGCAGAATGAATCTGAGGACACCCAGCAGCTGCTGCAGGGTCATTGTTCAGCCTGGCCAGCTCTCAGGCCACCCTTTCATGAGGAGTTCAGCCTGTGCAGGACTCCCAGTCAGTCCCTCAGCTCCTCCATTGTGGCAGATGCTGTCCTGTCCTGTGGCAAGGACTTCAGCACCTGGCCTCTAATTTTGGATTTGGAAGCCTGTGTTCTGTGAGACACTCAATAAATACCCAATATTCCTCCTGAGCAGTTCCTGCTCTGGCCTCTCCATGTGCCCTGGGCTGCAGCTGCCTGGATCACAATTCCTGTTCTGACAGCAGAAATGGGTCAGCAACACAAGCAAGAGGAGATTCTTGAGGAGAGTCTTGTGAGCAGCTCTGTAACAATGGGGTAGAACTGAATTTTAAGAAATAGGATTTTTGAGTGATGCCAGAGATTGTTGCTGGGCTAAACAGTAAAATTTCCTTTTTTTAACCCCCCTGTTTTCTGCAGGCTCTAGGATATGTTAGGGAACATTGGCTTAGTGAAGACATTTCCTTTAAGCTGCCCCCTCCTCACCCTTCCCTTCCTTTCCTCCCTGTGCCTTTGGGTTGATCCCATTGTTTCCATAAGGGGAAGCTCCTGTATAGAATAAAACATCCTGTCACAAGTTCTGAGTTAAAGCCTGGAGAAGAACATTTGAGCAGTAAATTTGTATCTGCTGGAGTCATTAATTGCAAGAGCTGCTGAGAAGAATTTGAATAAAAGCTGGAATTAGAATCTCCCTGTGTGATTTATAATTCTTTGAGTTTTAAACAAACAAAACTCTTCTCTGAGTGGCAATTTAATAGGAAGAGGGAAAATTCTCCCTTCACGTCCCTTTGAGTGCTGCTGTCTGATTTGAGTGCTGTGTTCAGTTGTGCATTTCTGTGGCAGGGAGTGCTGCTGTCACATCCAGGCCTTTCCCCTGGTGCTGATGGGTTTGAGGGCAGCTCCTGTCCCTGCCCGAGGCTGTTCCCCTGCACACCAGGGATCAGGGGCGCTCTTGTCACTCAGCAGGGGCCACACTTAGGCTGGCCTTAACTGGGGCTGGCAGGGGGGGCTGTGACCTCCTTCCCTGCTCTGGCACTGCTGCTGCCAATTCCATTTGGGGATTTGGTAGAAGAAAGAGCAAAGTTCTTTTCCATGGAGTCCCAGGGAGCAGGGCCAGGCCAGGTCCATCCCTGCCAGTGCCTTGGCACCCCCCAAGTGCAGCTTTGGGGGTGACTCCAACCTTAAACTGAAAGCCAAAGCCTGGGATGCAGGATAGAGCAGTAGCTTCCCAAAACTGCAGGGGGAAGCAGACAGCTGCTAATGGGTGACTGAGCAGTGGGACTGGCAGCTGAAAAATGCATTCCTGATCTGTTTAAAATTCCAGTTCCTGTGCCCCCTCTGAACTGAACTGCAGGAATTGGATGTCCTTGGTTTGGGTGGCCTGCCCAAGGGACTGAGGGGCAGGCTCCCTGGAAGTAGAACCTCTCCAGAACTGGAGCCAGGAGCAGTTCCCAGCAAAGGGAAATCAAGGGATCAGTCCCAGCACAGCAGCAGCCAGAGGAGATGTTGGGGGCAGTGTCACAAACTGAGGCTCCCACTGGCTGCTCAGGGATTTCACTTCCAGCACTTTCTGTTGCATTGCTCACTTCCCAAGGAAACAGGGAATTTGTAGGTTGCTGTCTTCTCTAATAATGCTGTTATCATTATAAAAATTACATTTAATATCCAAACAAAATTTATATCTAATTATACAGTTATAAATGAACTCTATAAAATTCTATTTTATATCATGTTTTTCTTGTTAACCCTGAATGCTCTGGCAGAGCAGCTGAGGTGCAGGGGCTGTGTGGGATTTAGGTTTGTACTTTATTGTCATGAGGCCAGGCTGTCCCTTGTCATGACTTGAGATCATCTCCAGCAGCCCTGGCCTTGCCAGGCAGGTTTGGGTTAAATACTGATTTTTTTCTGAGTATAGGATTGGAATTCAGTATCCAAATTTAAACATTTCTAATCAGGTCCTGTAAGAATCATCACCAGTTACATTCAGTTATTTCTTCTGAACTTCAAAAAATATTTAAACCACATCACAATCAGTGCCTGCCATGCAATTTGTCATCTTTGCATTACTAAAGTTCACAATAAACCCCAAACCTTCAGATTTTGCTGCCACTGAAGAGCAGAAAATCCTTCAGTGGGGAGCTGTGGCTGCGTGCAGGGCTGTGTGTGAGCAGCCCTGGGGCAGGAGCAGGCCAGGATGGCTTTTCCTGGGATTCTGGAATTCAGGCTGACCTTGTTCCCTGCCAGGGAGGGAGGGAGGCAGCTCCTGGGTGTTTGGGGGACCCTGGGGGGACACTGCACATCTCTGGGGACTGATCCATCCCAGAGCTGCTGGGAATTCCCCAGGGCAGGGCTGCAGTGCTCTGGGGCTTTCCCTGGATCTGAGCAGCCTCTCCTCCCTGCAGCAGGGCAGCTGAAATGGAAATCCTGAGAGTGGTTCTGTGCTAGGAATTTCTGTTCCAGGAATGGCTGGATGAGGAATAAATAATGCATTTATTTCACACCCAGCCTGCTTTGCAGGGCAGTGCCTTTAGCATTGAGGGGCTCATCCATTTTTCATGCTCTCACATTTTGTGGAAAAGCCAGAGGAATTGGCTTTGAGATGTTGCTTCTTGGTCAGTGATACCTGAAATGCAAATCCATCGATGTGCAGGAGGTTCCCTGCAGACTTCTCCTTTTTAGAAATACTTTGGCCACTCAGTTTGGAAGTGAAACCCATAAACCAGGGATTTGTTGAAAATGTTGGTCAGACTCTGACAGAAATGCAAGTTTTGAACCATTGCTGCTTTGCAGGGAGCTGAATAAATTACAAAATCATACACAGAGCTCTTGAAAGTGCTGCTTTGTTGCTTTGTTGTTTTTCCTTTTAGTCCTTTTTTAATATAAAGCTTATTCTTCTGAAGCTTTCTTGCTGCAAATCCCTTTTTATATTAGCATTTAATGTATAATTAGGGCAAACGTAATACTTTAAAATAATTTGGATAAAATGAAACAAAATATTGATAATGCAGGTGAAACTTTTCATGCAGCATCCCTTGATTCCAGGGTTTCTGCCTCAGGACTGCTGGGAGCATGCTGTAGTTGTGTTGATAATAAAAATCCTTTCATTCTTGTGGAGCTGTAACTGAGCCCTGTGCAGCAGAGAGTGCTCGTGGCACTGAAAGGCCACTTCTAAATAGGTCATGAGCAATGAAGTCAGTGGGGTTTGTGTTTCAGGCAGCCCTTCCCCTCACTGAGGGCATCTGTGGAGATCTTTCCAGCAGGATCCTCATCTCAGGCCTGCCCTGTGCTCACATGGTGCTGCTTTGTTCAGTGCCACGAGAGGTTGGCATCATTGTCACCCTTTGTGCCCTGCACAGTATTTAAAATGCCTTTTTGTGAGGTCCAGGCAGGAATTTCTGTCTGCTCCCAGGAAAATGGAGGTGTAGCAGTTCCACATTGCCTGTGCTGAGCAGCAGAGTTCTGCATTACACAGAGATTTGGGGTTTTCATGCAGCCTGAAGTGTGGAATTTGTATGTTCACGTTTCAAAAGCACCAAGGGTGTCCCTTGGGGTGTTGTGGAAGGGTCTGGGGTTTGTCAGCCCTCCCTGAGCAAAGGCCCTTCCTGAACAGTTGGGCATGGTTTGTGTGCCCTGGGTTTTGTGGGCTTTCTTCCAAATGTGAGCAGTGATGGCTATTGGAGAAGCTGTTTAATGGGCAGCAGGAACAAATGTGAGGCTCTGGGCGTGTATCAAAGGGCTCAGGTGAGATTCTGCTGTGGAATTTCGTGCCATGGCTCAGTGTCCTTCCACTGAGGCTGATCTGTTCTCAAGGTGTGCCAGTGGTCAGGGCAATCAATTCCCAAAGCCACAAAAGCAGGAGGGAGAGCCTGGGGTTTGGAGCTGTTTGTCAGCTCCCTGGCATAGCTGGGAGCTGCTGCAGTGCTCCACACTCTGCACTATATTTAGCTGTTTCCAAGGAGATGTTCTGTGTGATATTGATAATTGCATTAATCCTTGATTCACACAATCTGCAGGAAAGGAAACTGCTCCTTTTCCTACTGTTGGCTTTTTAATTGCTCAGTGATCTGTCATTTACAGACACCTCCATTGAAGTCCTTTGTGTGCTGGCAGAAAATCCAGTGCTCCAAGGCTGGGTTTTGTAGCACTCCTGAGCTCTGGGGGGTTCCTGCCCTTGCCTGCTTTGTTTCAGGACTGGCTGCAGTGGCAGGGATGGCTCGGGGACATCCTGGGGTTTCTGTGTCACAGCCTGGGAGCCTGAGCCTGGCCTCCCCTGGTGCCAGGATGTTCATGGTTGAGAACACAGCTCTGCTCACACGTGCAGTTCCCACTGCACAAAGAACCTGCTTCTGGGGGTTCTCTTTCTCCCCCTAAGAAATCTTTCAGGGCACAAATCTTTCTCAGCCTGGACCTTTTCCTTGTGCATCTCTGAAAATAACTAGAATTGCTGAGGTGGAATTATTTCAAGCAAAACTTGTGAGACTTTACATTTAAAATATATTCTGCACAGTTGACCTGCAGTGAGTGAATTAAATGGAGTTGGAAAGGAGAAGCAAACAGCCAGTAAAAGCTGATGTGTTGGTTTAGAGCATGGAATTCTCCATGGATGCTCTCCCTGCATCCTGGTGGCTGTGGAGTGGAGCTTTTTAATTGCCTTGCTGTTACACTCCAGTGTTCCATGGATATAGAGAGTCTTTCATGTCACAGGCTCTACAAGCAGATCTTGGCAGAGTTAAAACTCTTCAGGTTCTGTTTTATTCTGCTTCCCTTCCATACTTTATTTGGAACTGCAGCTGACCTAGTTGCTCATTTCAGTGAAATACTCTGAGACATTGTCTTTCCTTTTGTAGAAAAGAAGAAAGGAGAGCACGGGGCTGAAGGAGAAAGGAAATGAGCACTTCAAGAAAGGAGGTGGGTTGGTCATGTCTGAGCAGCCTGTGGGTGTGAGATATCCCACATTAGTGCTGAGCCATCGTGGGGTGCTGCAGGAAGCTCTGAGGAAGACCTCACACCGTCCTTGTTGAATTTTAGCACCTCTTGCATTTTTCATCCAGCTCTAGAGAAGAGACAGAGCTATCAGAGCTCCTTAGAGCTGTTTAAATCCAAAGGTTTGAGTACTAAAGCAGGATTCCCATGAAAGCTGAGTGTGTACATACAAAACCATGGATTTTGGACTGCCTTCCAAGAGCCAGGGTTTCTTTCACTGATCAAAAAAGGCTTCCCTGGGGCTCTGAGTTGGGCTGATGGTTGTGCTGAGAACTGATGCAACATCTGAGGCTCTGTAGCTGTCTTGTACCTTTATACATTGATTTTAGTGAACAAACAGAAGAGGGGAAGTGGTTTTGACACCTGCCTTTGACTGAACGTGCTGTGGGTGGAGGATTCCCAGAGAAATCAGGAATTGCAGGTGTCAGGCAGGGAATCTGTGTGCCCTGAGGAGCAGGCAGAGGCTGGAGATGCCTCATGGAGTCCTCAGGGAACACAGCTCTGGAGTGATTGAACACAGCTCAGGAAGGCATCAGAGAGGGCAGGAGGGAAGAGCTCAGCCCAGGAGAGCCACAGGCCTGGAGTGTTGCTGGAGTCTCACCCCAGGCCTCTCCTTGATCTCTCAGTCAGGTGCAGATGATGTGGCCATAAAAGCTCCCTGCAGCTGCTCTGGGCAGTGCAGTGACAGCTTTCAGCACTTCATCCAAAGGGATTGCACCTCTGCTCAAAGAGGAAACAATGGCAGGGGTGAGAATTACATCCACTCCTGCTGCACTTGTTGCATTCAGCTCAGTATATTCCTGCTTTTATAAGCAAAATTAAGTAAATCCTAAAACAATCAATTGTATTTATGAACTCAGTAATGATCTTTGAGAGCAGCTACTGATCCTGGTGTCACGTTACCAGATATTGAGAACTGTTTCCCAAGGAGCCTCAGCCATGGGTTCAGAGTTTGAAATGAATGGTTTGCTTTGGGTTTTGTTGCTCTGCCTCAGCCATGGGTTCAGAGTTTGAAATGAATGGTTTGGTTTGGGTTTTGTTGCTCTGCCTCAGCCATGGGTTCAGAGTTTGAAATGAATGGTTTGGTTTGGGTTTTGTTGCTCTGCAGACTATGGAGAGGCAGAAGACTCCTACACCAAGGCCCTGCAGGTCTGCCCAGCCTGCTTCCAGAAGGACAGGGCTGTTCTGTTCTCAAACAGAGCTGCTGCAAAAATGAAACAGGTCAGTGCTGCTTTCACTCTGTGCCCCCCTGGACTGAGTGTGGCTCAAATGCAGTTGTGAAGGGACCAGAGCCCTCCAGTCCCAGCTGTGCCCCATCCCCACTTTGTCCCCAGCCCAGAGCACCGAGTGCCACCTCCAGGGCTGGGGATGTGAAGAAATGTGACTTCAATCTAACAAAATTGTTTTGTGTTCTAGGACAAGACAGAGGCTGCCCTGAGTGACTGCACCAAAGGTATTTTTTTCCTCTCTGTGCTGTCCTTGGGCCAGATTTTTGTACATAAATTGTGTCATTTAGTGCCTTTACTGCAGAGCTGTAATTTTGGGCATAAAGGTCTTGAAAGAACTGAACAGAAAGCACCTGATTTGTATTACTTATTTTGTAAAATGTCTGTCAAACCTCCCTATCTGCAGTAATTTACTTTCTATTCTCTTGTACCATAAGGCTGCAGTTTGTACTTGTTTTTAAGGGGACAGTCTTTTCTGTGGAAACTGTTTCCCACACCTGTGATTTCAAAGCCACTTCCACCTGCTATCCCCCCCAAATCCTGGTTTAATCCCAGGTTCCAAAGCACTCTGAGGCTTTATAGAGTTAACAGCATTCTCAAATCCCTTTCCTGCACAGCTTTTGCTTTGTCACCAGGGCTTATGTTCCCCTGTTCCTGCCCTGCACAGTTCTGTCTCTGCACCTTCTGGTGGAATCAGTTCAGCTGTGCTTTGCTTTATTGCTTCCACCCACTCACCCACCCTCGAGTGTTTGTTAAACTCCCTGTGACAGCTGGGGAAAAAATCCAAATTACCAATCAGAGAACTAATCCAGTGGCTGTGTGCCAGCCCTGCCTGCACAGAAATGGGAGCTGTGCTTGCTGAAAGGGCTCCTGGAGGTACCAAATCCTCCCTGGCCTCTCTCACTGGGGCTTTGCCTGGTTTTGGAACTGCTGCTTTCTGAAAAACACCTTGAATTTTGCAGTGGTTCAGAGGAAATCAATGTGCTTTGAGCAGAGAGAGTTCAGCTGCCAGGGCCTGACACTCCCCAGGGACAGGAGCACAGCAGAGCAATTCAGTCACCTGCAGCTTGCTGACTGTGCCATTGCCTTTGTCCTTGCCAGAAGATAAACTGGAATATTTACCTGGATGATCTGAGATTTAATTGTCCCCAGAACCATTGTAATGAGCTGGGAATTATAAAATGGACAGAGCTCTTTCTGTGATAAAAATCTTTCACATTCCCAGTTTCTGTGATAAAAATCTTTCGCATTCCCTGTTTCTGTGGTGAAAAATGGATGAAGGAATTCTTGAGGAATTACCATGTGGAGGTGACTGCTGAGTTTAGCATTCAGTCTGAACTGTACTGCACAGAGCCCTGGCTGCCAAGGGAATGAGGGGAGGAAGAGCTGAGATGCAGTCAGGATGCCCCTCTGCCAGCTCACAGGGCTGGAATCACTGTTTGTGCATTCCCAACACAACCTGAACCGTTTGATATTAAATTCAGAAGAGCTCCAGAAATTCTCCTGGAGTTTGTCTCCACTTGAACTGAGATAAGCGTGGCAAGGCTGATTTTCCCTGCTGTGTGTGTCTGGAGGGATGTTTAACTTTAGCTGCAATCTAATAATAGCCACTTGCTAAACACACAAAAACTGAAATATCTTGCAGGTCCTTAAAGTTTCTGTAGCATCACTTAGAATCCCTGCACGGATAGGATTGCACATTTAAAGCTTTGTGATCATAAATCACTTCCATCTGGGAGAGGTTGTGGACATTAAATGAAATATGATCATGAGACTGTCCCAGGCAGCTGCTTCTGAATTCCAGCTTAGCTTTAAGCTGTGCCTCTGCTTGATCCTGAGTTACATTCTAAGGACAACTTAAAAATGTAATACACACTTGAGAATTCATTTGAGGGTTGGAGAAATGTTTCAAGTACAGTCCTGGGCTTTGCTTTTGTTTTGCAGCTGTGGAATTAGACCCTCACTATGTCAGAGCTTTGCTGAGGAGAGCAGAACTCTATGAAAAAACAGAAAAATTAGATGAAGCTCTGGAAGATTATAAGGCAGTCCTAGAAAAAGACCCCTCAGTTCATCAAGCCAGAGAAGCTTGCATGGTAAGCTTAAGCCTTTCAGTGAATCTTTGGCCTAACTTATTTTTCATTATTTTAGTTCAGTTTCACACCAGTGAACCTGCAATGGATTCTGCCTCAGAAGGAAAGAGAAACTCCCATGCATCACCTGCAGATTTGTCTCTAAACCCACTCTGAATATGTTGTTACAAAAATCTTCCTGAAAGGCTTAATTGTTTTAAGTCTCCATTTGGGAAAATAAATCATGAGCAGTGATTGTGCCCCCCTTTTCCCCACACTGTGGTGTTGTAAGTGACAGATTAGGAACAGCTTTTATGGCATATTAGGCAAGAAACCTTGCCTGGAATGATTTCCTGGGGGACTGGATCAGTTGCACTGATGGCAGAAAATATTCTGCTTAACTGTGTGAGTGCTGTTGGTGCTGAGGGGTGACCCCATAGAACAGCTGAGCTCCCATAAAGGACCTGGAGCTGGGCTGGGGCTTCCCCTGGGCCAGGAGCAGCTGCCCAGGGAGTGGGCACAGCCCAGAGCTCCAGCAGGGTTTGGACACTGCCCCAGGGATGCCCAGGCTGGGGTTGCTGGGTCTGTGCAGGGCCAGGAGCTGGGCTGGATGATCCTGCTGGTCTCTCCCCTCTGAGGATAATCCAGGATTCTGAGTCAGAGCCTCAGGGCTGGCTGGTTCTGTTCAGGATGCTTGGAGCCCCAGCAGGGAATCCCCAGCAGTGCTGCTGCTCCTTCAGCCCCAGTTCAGAATGCTCAGGGTCTATTCCTGATTTCTGTGCCTGGGCAGTGCAGAGGGTGGGGTTCACCCCCTCCTGCTCCCTGAGCTCCCTTGGCCAGGCAGAGCCTTTGGCTGCAGAGCCCTTTGGACAAAATGCCCTCAAATTCCCCTGCCCTGGCATTCCTTCAGCTGGTCCTTGTCAGATTTGAGGGAAGAAGCAAACTATTGAGACTGAAGCTTAAAACTCCCTTCCTGAAAACCTGTTAAAGAAATCCCAACAGCTATAATTCTGCACTTTTCAAATATTCATCATAAATCTCCAAATCTCATAATGAACCCCCCCAAGTTTCAGCTGTTGACTCCACATACCTGGTTACATCTCTAACCTGGAGGAGGCTGAGCAGCTTTGCTCTGCTGTCAGGTAAAAGTGTCTCTGCTTTGCAGGAATATCACAGGATCTTTTCCCTCTCACTGGCAATGAAAATGATGCCTCAAGAAAATCTGCAAATGGGTTTCATTCACAGTTAGAGCAAATCTTCCTCCTCCCTGCCCACAGGAATGATCTCACACTGCTCCAGGGAATGTCATGACCCTGTTAAATGACAGATTAAAAGATGAAATGCACAATAGTTCTATGATCCCTGATTTGGTACCTGCTCAATACTCGAGCACTGTTTGTATTTCAGGAGTGCAGAGCTGGGGTTCTGATTTCAATCCTCAGTTATTTTTGACTTTTTCAATGCCAGACTAAGCAGTTTGGAATTATCATGTTTGTGCTCAAATCTCCCCAGTTGCTGCTTTCCCAGAAAGTTTCATTACATAGAAGCAGTGGTTAGGTTTGGGTTTTCATAGGTGTGTAACTGTTGGGAGAATTTCAGCCTCCACACAGTTTGTGAGGGATTGATTTTAGGGCAGATGAAGAGATTTCCCAGAAGCAGCTGTACTTTGGGATAAGTATCACAGACACCAGATAAAAATGGGTGTCCATAAGGGCATTCCTGGAGTGGGAGATGCTGAGGCTCTGCATTAGCAGTGTTCTGGAACTGCACACCAGGATTTGTGTCTGTCACTGCTGATGTCCAAAATGGGAGCATTAGTGAAAGCAGGGATCTGATTCCAGTTTTGCTCTCTCTCCACAGAGATTACCACAGCAAATTGAGGAGAGGAATGAAAAATTAAAGAAAGAAATGTTGGGTGAGTAGTATGTACTTCCATAAAAACCTTCATAATCTACTAGAAAAAATGCATGAATAGAATCTCTTGTATAAAATTTAAAGGAGGTAAATCTGAAAGGAAATATTTGTTCAGTGTTAAGCAAAACTCCTGATTTCTTTGTAATTCTCAATTGCTTGGTTTCACCTTCAGTAAATTGGAGACAAGGAATTCTCCCATGCAGAAAAGGCCATTATTCCATTTAAAGAAAGAAAACTTAAAACCTTCTAAAACAATTTCATATTAGTGTGTTTAAGAGCTGGGGAAGGTGATTTGACACAGCCCAACTGCTCAGCCCTTTCTCCCTGCAAATAAGCCCTCAAAGCAAACATTCCCATGAAAGGGATAAACCAGGGCTTTCACTAAACCTGTGCCTAAAGGAACTCCCCAGCTGGAATAACTGGGCATGTTTGATCTGGGGGCTGAAGAAATAAATGTGATTCTTTCTGCAGCACTTCCAGCCCAGAGACCTCCAAGTGTTCGTGTTTGTCTTGATTTATTCAGCATTTCATTGCCTTGATTTATTCAGCATTTCATTGCTCTTTGGTTGGAGGCTGAATTGGACCCAGCCAGGGTTAGCACCAGGAGTGGAATTGCCATTCCTAGGGCAGTGCTTGGCTGCTCTGCAGAAAATCAGGTTAAACAACTCAGCCTGTCTTTCACACTGATTCTTGGGGTGTTTGGGAAGAAGACTGTTTCAGCTTATGCTGATATTCTTCTGTAATTTCTTTTCTGCAGCCTCTGATTTGCTCTGGCTTTGTTCTGCTCTGACCTAGCAGAGTGTCAGTGAGGCTTTGCAGAGCTTTACAGGATCAGAGCCTGCTTCCCCCATTGTGCTGAGAACAGGCCCCAAATAAAGCAGGTTAAGGGTGCTGGGGCTATAAATAAATGACAAATGCAGAAAATCTCCGGAAGGATCAGGCCCGTTGGTAGGACATGGGATGGGTTTCAGCACAAAGTAATATGAAAATAATTCCTGATCTTTGCTGAACTCTAAAGGGCCTCACTAATCACAAGGGATTTGACTGGAACAGTAAATCCAGCCCCTGCACTGCTGCTTTTTTCCTGGGTGTCAGACTAGGTGGGATCTCTTTTAACAGGGTTAATACTTTAAAAGTGGCAGTTGAGATTTCAGAACTGGGCTGGGCTTTTGGGAACCACTCAGACTGTTTCTGTTGGGATTCTGGAGAGAGAAATCTCAGTGCTGTCACACAAGGAGTTCAAAGAGCTGGAGAGCCAGACTGAGAGCAGGGTAGGACAACACAGAACCTGTGTTCATCCCCAGCCTGGTGTGTGACAGGAGTGTCACAGTTCTGGTTAAGTGACAGTGATGGTGGCAGTGGTGGCTGTCACACAAACTGAGGGGTTTCTACAGAACATTCTCCTGAAATGAAGTCAGGAATGTGGGCAGCTCCTTCTCCTGAGTGTTCCAAGGTTCCCTGTGTGCTGTTGTTAAGGGAGGCAGTGGGGATGCCATGGAGCAAGGAAACACTTCCAAGGTTTGCAGAGTGCTGCAGCTCTGTCTGAGGTCAGGAAAGCCCTCAGAATGGGAGTTCAGAAGGTGTGGGAGAAGAGAAACTCGATGGAATGTGGTGGTTCTGAGATTCCTTTGGATTGTTTTGTTGTCCAGTGAATTTGTTTGAAGCTGTTCCCACTTTCCCACCCTTCCTGATGGCATTTCCCACTGCCAGGATGGAGCTGGCTCGTGGCACTGTGGCTGGAACTGGGTGACTGGGCTTGGGCAGTGCCAGGGGGACATTCCTGCTTTCCCAGGGGGCAGCTCAGGTGCCTGGGTTGAATTCCAGACTTTTGGGCTCCAGCACAGCAAATCTGAGGCATCCTGATAGTTCCAGGCCAGGCCTGCTGCAGGAGCACTGGCTCTAAACTGAAATTAGGAGCAGTGTCCCACTTTGTGCCTTGGCTCCCTTGGATGTTGAGCTGATCCTCAGTCACTGAATTGGCCTCTCCTGGTTTAGCTGAGCTTTTATTCTTTCAACTCAAGCAAGGCCTGGGTTGTCCAACCATCTCATACTGTCATGGAACTGGAGCTGTGTACAAACAAAGCCAGATAAATGGAGTGCATCCTCCTCCTCCCCAAGTGTGCTTCCTGTTTCCCAGGGCTGCAGCTCATTTCTGTCAGAGCCTGAACCCCCTGTGCAGGGCTTGTGTGTAAATAACACAGAGCACACAGAATTCCTGGCTGGATTTTCCTTCTGGCCCATGTGACTGCTGGGTTGATGTCACCACAAGAATCCTGGTTTGTGGCCAGGCCAAGCCCACTGGTGCTGTGTCCCCAGGGATCTCCCTTCTGCAAGGCTGGCATTTGTATTTCAGTTCTTGCCATCTTTGATCAGCTCCTTGCCACTGGAGCTTGCTCAGGATGAAGGGAGCCCTGAGCTCACACCAGAGCTGCTCTTGGGGCAGGAGATGTGAAATGCAAGAGGCTTTTCCTCCTTCTGAGCATCCTCTGCCCCAGTGACTGAGGCTGTGAACTGTGACCATTCTCTGGGCTGGTTTGTGTTTCTCTCCTTAAAGCCAACAATTTGCAGTCTTGTTTAGAGACTTTTATAATTATTGTGATATCTGGGAGCCCTCCTTTGGGGAGAGGGTGTGAGGAGAGGGGGGCTTTGGAATGGGTTTAGTAGTCTGGGGGCCAGAGCTCCTCACCTGGGCCTTCCTGCCCAGAAGAGATTTTTCCAGCAAGCTGAGATCAGCAAAGACATTTATCAGGCTTTGTGCCTGAAGAATTATGGGGTTTGTTTGGGTTTTTCTTCTATTGACAGTTATGTTGTGTTTGCAGCTGAGCTGCTGAACCCCAACCCTGCACAAGGTGCTTTTAAGCAGTTAAATCAGAGCCAAATGACAGTTACAGTTCAGCCCTCATTTACCATTTAGGGAAGGGAGAAGGATTTGCCCTTGCTCTTTTAATTGCTTAAAAATGTTGGTAATACAAGAAGTTACACAGAGAAGAGACCTCATCAGGAAATTTGTCTTTTCTCCAAAAGAATTCTTTACACAAGCAAGATGGAGCTTTTCAACTTCCAAACCTCACATTAACACCAGCAACTAAGCCAGAATTATTGCCAGAAAGACTGAATAGCAATTAATTTTGGCTGTTACATCTTAATGTAAATTGTGAGTAATCTTTTCCTGCATCTGCCTCTTTCAATAGCGTGTTGAATTGCAGTTTAGGTGAGTAATGAATCACAGACTTCTGAGCCCTAAATTGATTTTTACAGTTCTGTTTTCTTGTTAACCTCTGAATATTTGCTTTGGTGAAAAACCTGAATGTGCTGGGGTTGCAGGTGGAAAATAAACAGGGTGTGTTTGAAAGAAAAAGAGCAAAATGTGTGAGAATAAGGGCAGAGGGAGGAGAGGGTGACCCTGCTTGGGGACAGGGAGTGGTGGAGGCTGGGCAGCCTCTGCAGCTGAGTCCCAGCTCCACGTGGTGCCTTTTCCTTCCTCCCAGCACAGGCTGTGAGGGAGCTTTTCTTTAGGAGGGGGGTGCAGTTCACTACAGCCCTTAATTTAGGGCTGAAAGGAGCTGTGGGAGGAGGAGGCATAGCTCCCCTACAATGCTGGCTCTGTGTGTGCCAGGACAGCAGCAGCAGCTCCGGGCTGCAGTGCCCGGAAAAGCCAAGGCTTCCTTCTGCCTCATTAACAATTAATTCAGTGTGGCTGCCCCAGAGCCTGCCTGGGGAGGGACAGAGCAGGAAGGTGAGCAGGGATGTGCTGCTGGAATTATCATAAAGCCCAAATCCCTGCTCCAGCTGCAGGGTGGGTCCTGAGGCAGTCAGGGGGTGTTTATGGGTTTGGAAAAGAGCATCCAGCTCCCTGCAATTGGAAAAAAACTCTCCAGTGTCCTGCCAGGCAAGCTCTGCTCTCCTGCCCAGCTGCAGGGTGGGGGGCTCCAGCCATGCCAGATTCTGCAGGATTTTCCACTGAGACACTACCCCAGACCTGAAGCTCAGCCCTGGCCAAATGTTTGTCCAGAAGTACAAAAAAGCCTCTTCATGTCACTCAGACAGATGCTACCAAAATGCTCTTATAGCCAAAATGCTTTCAGGGTGCTGCAGAAAGGGATGAATGTCATAGTTAATTAATCTTAAACAGGTGTACCTTAAAAAAATAAATAAAGATGTACAAAGTCAATCCTACCTGAGCTGCTGCTGGAGTGGCTTTGGTCACATCCCTGAACCACCTCATCTGTGAATTCCCATTAAAAAAATCCAGTTGAAGGAAACTTGTGTCTCCCCAGCCCTTTGCTTTGGTGGGCTCAGGATAAGGTTGTCTTTTTCCAGATACTGGGAAGAAATCCTTCCCTGGGAGGGTGTGAGGCCCTGGCACAGGTGCCCAGAGCAGCTGGGGCTGCCCCTGCATCCCTGGCAGTGCCCAAGGCCAGGCTGGACAGGGCTGGGAGCAGCTGGGACAGTGGGAGGTGTCCCTGCCATGGCAGGGGTGGAATAGATGATTTTTTAGGTCCCTTCCAGCCCAAATTCCAGGATTTCACTTGCCCCAGAGGCCCAGGTGAGGTGAGCACAGTGCCAGGGGGTTCTCAGGACTCCAAGCCCCTCCAGGCAGGAATAGCTGTGGCATTCCCAGGTGTTGTTCCAGGCCCTTGGCTGCTGCAGCTGCTCAGTGGATTTTCCATGGCAGCAATTTCTGTTGTCACACTCAGCTCCCAGCAAAACAAAACCCATTCCCTGAGGATCAGTGCAGGTGGGAGCTTCTGGAGAGATGGGGTTTGCCTGGGGAGGCAAACCTTGAGAAGGCTTCAACTTGTCCAAACTTCTGCTTTTCCTTTGGGAAATCTACAGTTCTACATTGAAACCAGGAGGAAAAGAATGATTTTCTTTGAAAACTGGCAATCTTCTTCCCTTGTGCTGTCATGCCAGGGGTTTGTGTTCAGCCAGCAGTGAAGTTGTTACCTCTGCTTCCTGTTTCACTTCATCTATTCTGTAATTTCTATATAGGATTTTTTAAAGGATGTCCTTTTGTTGTCCTTCCCCTCTTACAGCTGTACCAAGATCCATTTTCCAGACTCAGGAATCATGTATGTTCCTTATACTGACAGGACTTTATTAACTCTCATACTCTACAGATATTTAACAGTGATTTTTAATTCCTGCTAAGAGCCTAAATATTAACAAAATGCAGAGATTTCCTCAGCATTTACCTGTGCTGGATAAATCAGCAGGGCTGGGCTGTAGCTGGGTGTAATTCCAGGGGATTTTCCTCTGCTCAGCTCTCACTGTGTTCTCTTGGAATGTCACTGCAGGCAAACTGAAGGATCTGGGCAATTTGGTGCTGCGTCCCTTTGGCCTGTCAACAGAGAACTTCCAGATCAAACAGGATTCATCTACTGGCTCCTACTCCATCAACTTTGTTCAAAACCCCAACAACAACAGATAACATGGATTCAGTGTGGCTCTGCACATCCCGTGCCAGGATCCAGCAAACCAACAGCCTCCACCCCCAGGGCAAGAGGAGACTCAGCAAACTCATTTCCCAGCTTGTGAAATTATTTGCAATGTGGATGTAAAGCAACTCATTCAACTTCTCATAGTGATAACTGTGTCCAGTGTGTGATTTATTCTTTTTTTTTAATTTATTTTTCCCCTTCCCTTGTGGTGTTTGGCTTTTCCAAGAGGCAGTTCCTCAGTTTGGCCCACTCAGGGCTGGCAGCAGCAGCTCAGGGGAGTCCAGAGGCTGGGACAGAGGCTGGTGGTGTCCTGGGGATGGGGAGGTGCAGCAGCAGCACTGCCCCACCCTGGACACAGCTCTGCCCTGGAATCATGGATCTTCCAAGAAAGGCTTGGGACTTCTGCTCTTGGGCTTGTGAGGTTCTTGCCTGGCTGAGCCCTGCCCAAGGGGGGTTTGGTGTTGAGGGTCCCACAGATAACACCTGGCAGGGCACTCATAGCAAGCACTGGGGTTTTTGGCCCTGCTTGCAGCAGTGTTGTCATTTAGCTTCATGCCACCCTTTCAGCACTTTGTTTACTGGGTATTAATTTTTCTGAAGGCAGCAATGACATTTTGTGCCTCCCTCTCCATCTGCACACCTTGTAAAGATACCTCCAAATGAAATGTGCTTGTCTGAGATCCATTCATGTTGCAGAGATGCACAGGAGTTGATTGCAGAAGGTCTCCACAGTAACTGGACCCTGAGGACTTGGAAGTGTTTCTAGAATGAGATGACCTCTGAGATCCCTTCCAGCCCAAACCAGGCCATGATATAAATATAAATAATACAAGTATAAATATAAATATATATGTATATATATTTATATGTTCTGTTGTGGTTCATTCAGGTTTTGGAGAAGGTGCCTTTTGTAATTCCTGCTTTCCTGGGGTTTATCAGGGCTGAAGTGCTTGCATTGGAGGCAGATTCTGCAGTTGTTTCCATGCAGATTTCAGTACATGATTTAATTAAATAATTAGCAGTGGCTGCCTTGGCTATTGGGTGTCATCTCCAATTCATTTCAGGAAGTCTCTGTGTGTTGGAAATTCAGGAGCTGCAGCCTTTCACTGAAAGGAAAAGCCTTTCCAGGCACAGCAGGTTTGGTGCTTTAATGTCATTTTTGTCTCTGCAGCTGTGCAGAGTTGTTTTGATTGTTAAACTCTGTCCTGCTGCATTTTTAGTTTAGTTTTAGTTTAGAGTTGGGCCCGAGGTTGAATCAGCTGTGAAACCTCTGCTACCTGAGCTGAGCTCTGCAGGGAAGCTTCAGTGGCTTGGGATTAGTAGAAATGTTAATAATCTTCCCTAAAACCTGGAGCAGTGCAGGGCAAAGGAGAGCCCTGGGCAGGGCTGGGCTGGGTTCAGGGGCAGGCCCCAGCACCAGCTGGGCCTGCTTCCAGTCACCTGCAGCATCCCAGCACACCCCTGGCATGGACAAATTTTAATTTTTTTATAATTCTTTAACATTTCCTTGCTCTGACCAGTGGGTTCTGTCCCTGCCCTGTGTGCAGTGTCACTCACCCGTGGCTGGCTCTTGTGCCCAGTTTCCAGTGGCCTTTTCCAACCAGCTGCCTTGGGGACAGGATTGCTGTTCCTTCCACTCTGTTCCTGCTTCACCCCTTTGGAAGCCTGGGGAGCTGCAAATATTCCTTCTCAGCTGGAGACTGGGGAATTTCTGGGAAATAGAAGCACAACAAAGCTTTTGAATTTCCTACCTGCTGTGCAAACACATCATCAAATCATTGTGCAACTCCCCTGCAGGATGCCTGATGTGCACCTGGAGCTTCCAATGAAGGGAAGGGCAAAGGAAGCAGGGCTGCAGCTGATTAGTGTTTGTAATTTAATTGGATTGTGTGAAAGTCACTGGGAGCTGGGCATGCTGGTACTGAGAACTCAAAGCTCCAGGTCATCCCTGCCTCCTCAGGGCCACTCTCCATCCAGCTGGACCAGAAACCTCTGGCAGGTGTTATCTGCCAGCACAGCAAGTTCTCCTCCAGGCAAAATTCCAATTAATTGCCTGAAAGTCCTTCTGCATTGTCCAAATCCTGAACAAGTGCATCTGTCTTGCTTTTGATTTTTAAGTGGTTTTTTTAATGTCTGAACTAGTCCTCACAGCTAGACCAGTAAAATAACTGGTGCCTCCTCCTGGTGCCACTGGCCACAACTCAGGGCATGCCAGGGAGTTTTGAGTCACACTTGTTGGATTTACAACCTCTACTAGGAAAAAACTGGTTTATGAAACACAATCTTTTAAATAGAAGTGCTCCTAAACCAAACAGTTCCTTGCTCAAATGTTCCAACAGCTACTCACCCTCCTGGTAACCAGCACGTGCCTCCTTTCCAGCTGGAGTTGTCCATCCTCAGCTCCTGCCTTTGTTGCTCCTTCCTTTGCCTGCCAAACACAAAACCTTTCAGTAGCTGGCCTTTCCCCTGAGGTGTTTGCACAAAAATAAAGGCAGTGTTGGTCTTGTCCATGAGCTGGGTTAGCCTCTCCCTACAAAGAACTTTCTCCAGGATTTCCATAATATTTGTGGCTCAGACCTTTCATTATTTGACACCAGAACTGACAGTGGGATTTGTCTCTGCTTTATGCAGAGGTTCTCACTCACTTCTCTGTCCCCTCAGAGACTTTAATCCTTTTGGCTGCAGATGGGCTGAGAATCACAGATTGCCAGGATGGTTTGGGCAGGAAGGGACATTGAATCTCATCCAGTCCCACTCCCTGCCATGGCAGAGACACCTTCCATAGGCCAGGGATACCTTCCATGGGACCAGGGACACCTTCCAGAGACCAGGGACACCTTCCATAGGCCAGGGACACCTTCCAGAGACCAGGGACACCTTCCATAGGCCAGGGACACCTTCCAGAGACCAGGGACACCTTCCATAGGCCAGGGACACCTTCCAGAGGCCAGGGGCACCTTCCATGGGACCAGGGACACCTTCCAGAGACCAGGGACACCTTCCATAGGCCAGGGACACCTTCCAGAGACCAGGGACACCTTCCATGGGACCAGGGACACCTTCCAGAGGCCAGGGACACCTTCCAGAGACCAGGGACACCTTCCATAGGGCAGGGACACCTTCCATGGGACCAGGGACACCTTCCAGAGGCCAGGGACACCTTCCAGAGACCAGTTTGCTCCAAGCCCCATCCAACCTGGCCTCATTCCAAATCCTGCTCATGAGTCCCAAGGCCTGACCCCCAGAGGAGCTGAGCACCTGCAGTTCCCTCTGTCCCACCAAAGATTTGGAGCATTTAACATCTCTTAAAAGATAGAAAAAGCAGCTCCCCAGTTCACATCTTCAGCTCTCTCTGCCAAAACCCCAGCCCCAAGGGAGGCAGCCACACTCCAGGGCAGGGTCCAGGCACAGCCAATCCCTCCTGCCCAGCAAGATCCAAAATCTCCCCCAGCTCATCCCTTGGGACATTCAGGATTTGACAAGGCACCCAGCTTTGGAGCCCAGTCCTTCCCTCCTTGATTAACACAAAACTTCCTGGGATCTACCTGCCCCTGATTAGCAGAGCCCCAGCCTGGGAGAGAGGAGAAGCTGCTGGTCACCAGCTCCTAGGCTTTAATTAGCTGTGTTATTCCCAAGGGATTACTGCTGCAGCCAAGAACCAATTACACCCCAGTGCCTCCCTCCAACAGGGCAAAGATGCACTGGGGCACATTTAATGTGCAGCATTCATACGTTGCTCATTCACAAGCTTTCCCTGTTTGGATGAATCCCAACAGTTTCTTGCTCAGCAACTTTTTCCCACCCTGGGCAGGGCTGTGACTGCTGGGGGGGCTCTGGGCAGCGCCTGGCACAGGAATTGTGGCACTAAGCCAGAGGCATCACTGCCTACCCTGACAAAGATTAAAGGCTCTAAATCAACTGAAAATTAAAACCCCTTTTTTCCTGATTCTGCACGTTCAGTGGGAATCTCCCAATTGGAAACCATCTGCAGCTGCAGCCTGTAGTCCCCAGAACTGCATATTTCTCCCCCTTTGTTTCTCAAGGAGACAATTCACAAATCCCGCATGCCCTAAATGGATGCAGCAGGATTAGATTTGCCTTTCCCGGCCTGCCTGGGCCCAGTGCTCTGCTCCTGCTTCCCAGGACTCCCTGCCTGCTGTCCATGGGCTCTGGGCAGTGTCTGGGAGGGCGTGGAGCTCCAGGAGGAGCTGTGCTTGCTCTGGGATAAGCCCACGCTGGCCAGGGGGGCTCTGTTCCTGTCTCTGGGCAGTGAAGGGCAGCACCCCCTCCCTGCAGACACCCCAGGGAACAGGGATGGCAGGAAGAGGGAAATGCTGGTATCTCATCTGGGCGGTGGCTGCTGGCAGAGCTCCCTGAGTGTATTCCTGAGTGCTGCTGGCGAGTGCCCAGCAGGTCCCTGGGGAGCCAGCGGGGCCAGGACTTTTCTAATTGCATTTGTCCTATTTCCATGAGCTCCTTTGGCTGTCACCCTCCATCCTGGGGTGCTTCTCTGTCTGAGGGAGGGAGAATTGCAGTATTTGGAACTTAGGGAAAGGAGGAGGCTGAGCAGTGTCAGTATTCCTGGGGTCTTATTCTTAGCATGGCACAGATTCCCTGCCCATGGCTCCAGCCCTGAGCTGCCCTTGAAGCATCAGCTCTCCAACACATTTGTGTCCCTGCTCCCAGCTGGAATGCAGCTGAGGCCTTGGAGCCTGGAGCCAGCAGCAGGTTTTCCAAGGCAAGATGCAGCTGATGGCTCCTGACAGGATCCTGCAGTGTTAATGCAGAGAGTGTGAAGTCCAACCCCCCCCAGTTCTGCTCTCACAGCTCATGCCCAATGCTTTTTAAAAGCAACCACAGCCAAATGAGTGAATCACAGATGCCTTATCCCCATCCATCTGAGCAGTGTCAGTATTCCTGGGGTCTTATCCTTAGCATGGCCCAGTATCTATCCCTGAACACTCTGGGGCCCCCAGCCCCTTCCCCTGACAGCTCAGAGCCTTCAGTGTTTGGATGAACCCTCCAGGAGGAGCAGCCTCACTTAATATTTAATGACCAAGACAACCACAAGCAGAAATTCCAGTCCCCAAGCTCTTAAGATGTGGAGCTCAGCTGAAAATCTGGATTTCAAAATCAGAACTACCCCTCCT